TATGGAAATGGTTAATTTTGCCACTACTAAAAGAGCTAATGTAAAGTGAACGTAATTTGAATTCGCCAAATCTCGCTCCTCTCACAACAGAGTAAACCTATTTAATCAAATATTTCTTGTTTTCAAATACTGAAGGATTTTTAATTGCCTAAAAGTGACCCAGAGTTGTGTTAGAGGTGATTAATGAAACCATTCACTGAGATATTTCACATACCTACTATGTCCATTTTTCTCATGTAACCTTCTCCACCTCAATCTCATATCCCAAAAGTGGACAAAATCGAAGTTTCTTATCTCAAAAGTGGACAAAACCCCAATCTCATATCCCAAAAGTGGACAAAACCCCAGTCTCATATCACAAAAGTGGACAAAATCCAAGTTTCTTATCCCAAAAGTGGACAAATCCCAGAGTCCCTCATCACAAAAGTGGACAGAATCCAAGTTTCTTATCCCAAAAGTGGACAAAACCCCAGTTTCATATCCCAAAATTGGACAAAATCCAAGTTTCTTATCCCAAAAGTGGACAAAACCCCAATCTCATATACCAAAAGTGGACAAAATCCAAGTTTCTTATCCCAAAAGTGGACAAAACCCCAATCTCATATCCCCAAAGTGGACAAAACCCTAGTCTCATATACCAAAAGTGGACAAAATCCAAGTTTCTTATCCCAAAAGTGGACAAATCCCAGAGTCCCTCATCACAAAAGTGGACAGAATCCAAGTTTCTTATCCCAAAAGTGGACAAAACCCCAGTCTCATATCCCAAAATTGGACAAAATCCAAGTTTCTTATCCCAAAAGTGGACAAAACCCCAATCTCATACACCAAAAGTGGACAAAATCCAAGTTTCTTATCCCAAATGTGGACAAAACCGCAGTCTCATATCCCAAAAGTGGACAAAATTCAAGTTTCTTATCCCAAAAGTGGACAAATCCCAGAGCCTCACATCCCAAAAGTAGACAAAATCCGAGTTTCTTATCCCAAAAGTGAACAAAACCCCAGTCTCCCATATATGAAGAAACAAATTTCATTGAAATTTCAAAGAACGTTTAATTCAAATTTTAATGTCAAACTGAGACATTAATAATAATATCCAATATATACAATTATATAAACAAGAAACATTTACTTTTGAGTTTATGGGTCCACTCCGTTTACTACAGGAATTCAGATTATATCGACCAATTTCTAAAAAACGTTTTCTAACAATGCTACAGTCACATATTCGATATATTTCACAGTTAGAGGTCGTATTATCCCATAGGACCCGATTTTATGTAAATTAAGGGCTAAAATAAAGATTTCATTTGCGAAATAACTTTCTTGTACATATACGTGGATATATTGAATATTATTATTATTATTATTATTGTTATTTCCTAATTTGACATAAAAATTTGAATTAAAAGTTCCTTGAATTTTCAATGTTAAATTTGTTTCATTTTATATATATGAGACTTTTATTTATGAGATTGGGAGAGAGGGAAAGAGAGAGAGAGAGGAAGATACAGGGGGGATAGGGAGTGAGGATTTTATTTGTTCTGTTTTAAATCGTCACACAATTTTGCCACTCGAAAGGATAAGAATCTTATAAATCCGTTTGCCGTGAAAATATACAAATCAAAGTTTCTTTTGAAAAGTCTTTGCACGCTTTTCTTCAATTCAAGATATTCTAATATGTTGATGCTTTGTATACAAATAATACTGACTCTGACAATTGAAATAAAAGGAAACCGAAGGAAAAAGCATTCATTTTAATTTCGGCTGTTCACACTTATTTCAAAAGCTATGAAGACAATATAAACATTTGTTTCATATAAATCACGATGTTGGTTTACATTATCTTTGAACAGGAAGGACGTATGAGACGCTGTCTTACCTACTTTTTTCTATTTCTCTCTCAGATATATATTTGATTTGATTTTTTCTTTCTCGAGATCTTTTTTTCTGACCAATATCTCTCCCATACCTTTTCTCATCTCACATTTTACTGGCTTTTATATTCTTGGATATAACCATTGGTATAATTTGTTGGACATGTGGAAATTCCACAACACATCTTTTCAATTTAGGAATAAGACCTGAAAGAATTCATATAATTTAAACATACACGAAACAAGAAATTCGGTTACGATTTTATATCCACGAACTTAAAAAAAAATATTATATCCTCAAGTTTCTATTTTCAATTCACAAAGGACAACAATTTTTCTCTTCTTCATGACTATTCATTGATCTTTTGCCTTTTGTTATGTATTCTAAATCAAATAAGTATTATGAATTTGTTCGATATGAAAACCTCATTGTTCCAAATAACGTTCTGAAAAGTCTGATATTCGTTTGCAATCAAGTTTAGTAAGGAAAAAACATCGATTTTGTTGAAAAATTCACTGATTAAAAAAAGTTGCCCCAGAGACCCCTCATGGATTAAGGGGCCTGAATCTTATTTGTAAAGGAACCATATGAATTCAGACAAAAGGAAAAGAACTTCTTTTAGCCGACATACATCGTACTCTGACTTTATCTAGACAAATGTAAGGAAATTATTTTGTAACGAGTATTTATAAATTGACCTAGCGTTGTTAAAAAATTCTGACAAACTAACATTTTTACTTATGTTTATAAGTATTTGTTGCAAAATGAAATCGTTACATTTGCCTTGATAAAGTCTATCAGAGGATGAAATGCGTCAGTTAAGAAATCTTTCCTTTTGTCTTTATTCATATATATATATATATGGCACACACACATATACACACCCACACACACAAACACATACACACACACACACACACACACACATATATATATATATATATATATATATATATATATATATATATTTTAATTCTAAACGTTAATTTTTAGTGGCTACACGTGTTTGAGTAGACGCTCTGTTGTTGTTTTTAGCAGAATTACATCTCCCCACCAAGACATTCGGGAATCTCAATAAAGAAAATGTGCTCTCCGGCCGAGTTCCAAACTGCGCCCCCCCCACACACACACGTTGTAAAGGAAACCAATGCTTTAATCTGCTAGAGACTTCCACATTTAATCTGCTAGAGACTTTCGAAATTAGTAGATGTAATTTTTAAAAAAATAATGTTCGATTAAAGATAAGCAAACAAATAAATAAAGATTTCTTAATTTCTTAGATATTACGTTGTTTATGTTTCGGATACGAAAATAAAGTTAGCACATGAAGTTTCGAACAGATACGAAACTTCGCGATCTGAGAGAGATGGGCATTGCTTAAAATGATAATTTTCAGCACTTATTCAAAAATCAATTAAATTATTTTAGAATGTTTCTTTTTTTTAGAAAATCTTGGTAAAAACATTTGTTTTTATATGTTAACCCCCACTTATTATTTTATAAAATTTCGAGAAATTAATTTTTGTAGCGTTTAATATTTATTTAACCATAAATTGCAGTGAACAAATCGGCCTGGCGTACGAACCGATTTTTAGCTCCTACAGTACAGGTCAACCCTAAAACATACGGTAGGCTATCAGTGACCCAAAACCATAAACCGAAAATATTTTTAGGCTTGAAAATTCGACTTGTACGACACAATTTACGTTAGTTACACGCATAATTCCTTGGAGAATTTAAAACATCATTTTATTTAATTTTTTTTTTTTTTTTTTTTTTTGTTGTAAAAACTTGACCGAAAATCTGCTTAGAATTGTAAAAAAAAAAAAAAAACAAATGCAATAAAACTAAGCCATTATTTAATTAGAAAAGCTTTTAATTGCTTTTATTAATAAGATATATTATGGACACTATTGTCTTAAGAAAAATTAATTTTTTGATGAACAATGAATTTTTACAAGAATTGTTTTCATTTTTTAAAAATTGTAATTAGAATAATTTATAAAGTTTTAAATTTCTGTATTAATTTGTACCGGCAAGGTGATAATATTATTAAGCAAAAAATATAAATGGAAATGCTTACTGCAATTCGATGATTCCCAATATTTTAAAAAGAATTTTTATTGTGTGTGTACGTGCGCATAAACGTAGCGATTTTTGTAAATACGGTCGTTCATACACGATATTAACAAAAAATAAGAGCGATAAATTTAGAGCCAAAATACCTAAAATTCAATAAAACATTACCATACGGAGAATATTTTCCTAAAGTTTTAAGATCACTGAATAGATTAAATTATATAAAAAATACGCTCTTGTTATATTCCCCAAGGAATTTTAAAGATATGTCCGCCGTAGAAAAACTTAAATAACCCTTCGGCTCCCAGTCAAGCTGACAAGCTTAAATAAATACCTACCCCGTGTTAAGAAATGCATTCTGTGATATTTTAAACTTAAGTAAGTAAATTTGCTTTAAATCTGATTAAACTTTAAATCAGCTAATATTCCCCAAATAAATTTTCCTTTATTTTTTAAAAGTTTTTTTTTAATAGACAGAATAACATTGTGATAAAAGATGGCTAACAATGTTGATAAAAGGATAAATTTTTAGCGATTTCAAAAGAAAAAACACCTTCCAGCCAATTTAAATTAGTTTTGAAACACAACAATTTATTTTGCTTATTGGAGAAATTAAATTTAATCGATTAACATGAAATTAAAACTAAAATAAAAGCTTTAAGAAAGATTTTTCATTTTTAAAAATACATTTTAATTCTTAGGTATCCCTTTTCTGTGGAGGTACCTATATGTGTATGCGCGTGTCTGTTTGTATGCGTTTGTGAGTATGTGTGAGTGTAGCAACAGCGGTATATAAAGTTAATAGGTAGATAAAGAGATAAAAAGAGACTAAGACTAATAGTTAAAATTACCATCACTAAAAGGATCTTTATTATGGTTATACGTAACGCTGTCAACAATTTAGAAGTTTCTCACGTACAAATTATTTCTACTATTCGTCTTAATCGATCACTTTCAGCTGTAATTCACATCCATTAGTTTACCATTCGTTTTTTTTGTTTTGTTTTTTTTTTACTTCTGCTTCAAACGTCAACAATACCAAATCCATGGACTGCTTTTCGAGATTCTTCTTCTTCTCCACTACACTCAACGTTTCCTCATTTTTCTTTTCTTTTACTTATTCTACTTGTATTTTTATTTTCTTCTCGTTGTCTTTTCTCTATTTTGTAGCTGTCATTTTTCTATTCTTTTCATTCTCTTCTTGTGCCTCTTTTTAACTGTCTTATTCTACTCTATTCAGCTTGTTTGCTTTTCCCTTCTCCCACCACTTTCCCTTCTTCTCCCACCACTCTCTCTTCTTCTCCCACCACTCTCTCTTCTTCTCCCACCACTCTCTCTTCTTCTCCTGTTACATAACGACCTCTTTAGCTGCATCTACTTACTTAAAGTATGCAGACAAATCGTCCGATGCCGTCAAAACTTTTGGATATGGCCAAGAGGGTAGGTCGGCTGGGTGTGGAATGTAAGGGTTTTGAAGATAAGTTTTTGAACGAAACAGAACTATTTGCAGAACTATTTTCTGCTCGAGTGAGTCGCGGAATTGGTAAAAAAATAAATAAAACAAAATGTAAGAAATGAATTTAAGGAGAAACGTTCAAAGTCCAAGAAATTTTAAACAAAAAGTCACACGTGTCATCATTAAGCCAGGAAATCAGTTTGCAAAGAAAAAGTTCGAGTAATGTGAAAGAAAGATTGAAGAAATAAAAAATAGCAAAAGTTAACAAATGTTTTAATAAAGAAGAAATCAAAACAACAGAAAGAAAAGAAACGTAAAATAATGAACATAAGTAAGAAAAAATTATGGAAGGAAGAAGAACAGAAAGATTTAAAAGTAATTAAAAGAAAGATAGAAGTGGGAGAGGAAATAGGATGAAACGGTTTTTGATTGGTCGCCCAGATGATGCCAAAATGGCCACTATTGGCAGCCAATTAAATGGCCGGAATTTTGTAGGCTCTAAAAAATAGATTATTTCGCTGACATTTTACCCCACACACATTTTCCTTGTATCAAATATCCAAATGACAGGCATTATTATTTTAGAGTTTTCTTGCTTTTTTGTTGTTGTTGTTTTGTTTTGTTTTTTGGGGGTTTTTTTATACACTCAACGGGGATTCATGTGAGGAAATGTTTACTCGTTTGTGTTTGTAAATATATACATTAACAGAAAACATATTTAAATAAGTGTGGAAAACAAAGGCGTGCTTCAGTGAACATATTGGTAACGCGTTTACTTCTGGTGTCAGCAGTTAGTTTGGTGCCAAAACAAGGTTACAAATAGAGCATATTGCATCCTGCGCTGATATTGTGTCTATTCAATCTTCCGAAAATAATGTTTCACATTTTCTCTTGCACTTGTTCCAATTTCCTCATCCCTTCTTAATTTCTAATTCAATTTGAGTTTTTCATTTTTCTCTTTCGCTTTACACCTCTCTTTCCTTCTCCCTCTCTATCGAACTCTCTCTCTCTCTCCCTCTCTCTCTCTCTATATATATATATATATGTGTGTGTGTGTGTGTCGGTTTGTTCTTCATTTATTATTATTATTATATGCCTAATAGAAGGAGGGACATTTAGTTTTTGAGAAAATTGCCCAACCACCCCACGTTGAGCTTATTAAGATCATCACGTTTATTTAAAAAAACAGTAATTATTAGAGTTGATTCAAGGTTTTACATTCATGCTTTTATGATTGCATTGTTTAAAACAAATAATATTCCAATGTTCTTTTGTATTCTTTCCGGAATTACCACGTTCCATTGTTTAATCAGCTTAATGTTTCTTTAACCTAAATGTTCCTCTACCTAAATACTAATTTTCTGATCTTTTAAATAATTTCCAGACACCACCCCTTTTAATAAGACAACAGTTTGCTGCATATTGAAAAAAAAGATACCTCCCGATCATTCACCCATCTTGTATTAGTCATCTAAGACTATATATCTATTAGAGAGCAATTTAATGACAAACTGCAATAAATTCTATATTATGTGTTTCATCCCTCGAAAGGACTTCTGTAGACTGAAAAAGTCTTTCAACAGACGAAACATATAGCAGATTTTCATTTCATTAAATTACTCACTTAGTGTGAAACATAGATTCCTATCTATCTATCTATCGATCTATCTATCTGCATTCATTGTGAAACATATATTCTTATTTTTCCTTACCCTCTCACCTATGTAAACGTAATGATTGTGCCTTTACTGAATATTTTGTTTCATTGCATTATTGTTGATGTTAGATTGCATTTTGGTTGATTACACTGATTTATGAACTCAAATTAAAACATTAATTTGTTTTCACTTTACAATTGGTGGATTTAAACGTTTACTTCGCCCTCTTTTTGGCGACTTGCCACGATATTTGATTCTTTTTTCTTAATTCATTCCTTATTTTTTTTTATTTTAAAGCTTCATTCGGTTGAATTTTAGTTTATTTGCTAAGTAATGTAAATGTTTCTCTCAAAATGTTTTTCAGATGTTGTAAATAAACATCAAGATATTCTTATTCTTTGATGTACCCTGTTGCTTCAGGATATAGGCGACAGACCATGCCTCTTCGCAAATTCCTGTCCGCGACACTTTTCTATTTTTTTTTAATCCCCGCTCTTTCATCCAATTACTCAAATTCATCACGCAAGTTACTAGCTGTTTCTATCTGCCCGTCTTCAGTGTGTCATGTGAGTATTCATTTTTACAATCCCTCTTTTCTCACAATAATTTCAACTGTCATTTTCTGATTTTAAGTACATGTATTATTCTAGTCCCCATTCTCTTTTTTAATTCCTTCGTTGCTCATGTGTTTTGTCCATTGTATTTCTTGCATTTGTCTGTAGAACCACATTTATGTTTTGCATCGACTTGTCTTCTTCATCTATAAGGACATTGTCCAGTTATCTACTAGCCTACAAAACGATAGATATTAAATAGCATTTCAACATTTCTTGCTTTCTAACAGCATTTTCCTCTGTTATATGTCGAAATATTACGAAAATAGTTCACCTTTAAATGAAATATTTATTAATTACTTTTGGTGGAATTACATTTCCCCAACAAAATAGTCGTGTATTGCATTATTTTAAACTTATAAATGGGCATCTAAACTAAAAAGTAAAATTCCATATATCACTGCATATATCTTGTTCCCTTTACCTTTGAAATATCTCTACTTACTTTTTTCTCTAATCTTTTCTTCACTTTTCCTTTTCTCTCTCTCTCTATCTCTCTCTCTCTTTATATATATATACTCTCTCACGTTATCTCTCTTTCTCTCGTCTACAATTATTCTTTTCTTTTTCTTTGCTGCTTTTTCGTCTTCTTTAGTCTTTAGGCTTTTTGTCCCCATCCCGACCCTATCTATCATATGTTCTTCATTTTATTACTTCCTAAAAATGCTTGCATTCTAATATTTCTTCCTTTCCTTTTTTTTTTCTTCCTTTCCACACTCTCTTTTCATCCGTGTCTTTGTGTATTTTATTTATTGTATCATTTCCCAGATACCCTAAGTTTCTCTTAATTTGTTTCCTTCTCATCTTAGACACACACACACACACACATCACACACTCAAGCACACGCAATCACACACACATTTGGTTTTCTATTTTTCTTCGCTTTATTCATCATCACGCCGCTTCTTATTTATTTTGGAGATGTGATATAAAATTTCTATCGAGTGATTTATTTCGCAGAAACTAACGCTCCATTAAGAGTCAAAAGGAACTATTTGTCATCTGAAGATTCATTAAAATACATATTAAAAGACTATGTGTGTGTGTGCGTGTGTTTTTCTAATGATTTTTCGGATGATAAATAGATCCTTTATACTCACATATATAAATACTTGAACATATATAAGATCAAAATACAGCACTGAGCAGATCCGATGATGTTCTAGCAATCGCCAATCTAAAACAGCAATCAAAGTGTTTTTAGAGGTAAATGCCTTTAAATGCCTGGTAAATGCCTTTCTGTGTTGTTTACTGTTGCACGAAGGTTTCGTGTAACAAGAGTTGAATTTTATGTCTCATTGTAATAAACTCGATAATGTGAACGGATATTGATTGAGAATATGTATTATATTTAAAATGGAAGTATATGCAAGGAAAAGGTTTCGTCTTCTAGCAGAGGCGATTCAAGGATTTCCTATTAATAAAAACGTACCAAGAAACTTCTGTTATGTTCATTCTCTATAAGTTTAACTCTCTCTCCCTCTCTGTGTCTCAAACATGCGCACAAGATTGGTTAAGATTTATTTGCTAACGACACTCCTTACTTAACAGGCTATGATCACAAATCTTTTGTGCAAATTTTATTCCTATCCGTAATATATTCCCAATAGAATAGATAGAATTTATGAATATCATTCAAGATTAAAAGATATTTGCAGAAAATACTCACAGATATTGAAAATAATTATGAAACCCGAAAAAAAAAATTGTGTATGTGCGTGTGTTAAGAAGTCAGTCTTATAGAAACCCATACAAACAGGGAAGCGTTGTGTCATTCAATTTTTAAAACAACCGAGACGCTATCGTTGCATCTTCATCAAGATGGTCAAAATAGATACGCGTATCTGTCAACATGAACTCAGACACATGAACTCAAAAATGTATGTTGTGGTAACAATTCTTTAATTCAAAGAAAGTGATTGCTGAGTATATCTGCATCAACACGACCTCCCTGCAGTTGTTTCAGCCGACACCCAGAGAAAGAAATACATTATTGTCTCCTCAGGTGTTTCCTACACACAAAAGTCATTTCATATAGCAAAGCAGTTGCCTTCACCATAAAAGTCACAGCTACTCTATTTTCACTTACTTTTATGCTAATTCATTAGCACTTTCTTTTCTTTTCTCTCTTTTATGCTTTTCATTTTCTGATCAATCTTTTCTTTAACTTCTAATATTCTGCTTCATACTGAGACGTGGGGTTACGCTGGGCCACCTTTAGACCAACAGTTAATCAAAAAATGGAAAAGACTCTGATAGGACAGGACGAAACTGTTCGAGCAGCTAAATGTAAAAAACTGCAATCAGTTATATAAATATATATATATATATATATATATATATATATATATATATATATATATAACAGTATTTACCCCAAAAAGTTTAGCGACAAGTTCGAAGGTTTGAGCGTATTTCGCAGTTGTTCATGGCGGTTGATGCGTATTCTCATAGAAACTGTAACTAACATCTGCTCAGCTTAGTTGGATCAGAAATCATAGATGGGCTCTGTAGATGTTAACAAATCCAAATGTACCTGAGCAGGTTTCTGCAACAGCGATTGGTTACCCATCCTAGCAGACGACTATGTTCGGAAAAAAGTAGCCGGTCATTATATATATCTATGTATATATATATATATATATATATATATATATATATATATATATGTGTGTGTGTGTGTGTGTGTGTGTGCATAAAGAGGAAATACAAAGCATCTGTCTTATTGATATCAAAAGTAATAGATCCATAAGAACGCGCTTCATATTGTATTGCAACTTTAGACATATTAATTAAAAACATTTAATTCTGAAATTATGAAACAGATTTGTGAGGTAACTTTATCTTATATTTAAGAGCATTACTCGTTTTGTTATTTTAATTGAATTGCGAAATAATAATAATAATAATAATAATAATAATAATAATAATAATAAGAAGAAGAAGAAGAAGAAGAAGAAGAAGAAGAAGAAGAAGATTCGCTTCAAATTGAAACTAAATTATTCATTACAATAAAACAAGGAAATTCATACTGTAGTGAGGCTGGAAATATGAAAAAATATTAATGAAATCTGATTGTGACTATTTTTGGAGACACCCAGCGTTATACTCTGCTTTCGAAGCAAACGGATTAAATTGCATTGACAGTATTATTTCCCTGCAAGATGAGACATTCAATCAATGATCTTCGTTGTTTAGACAAAAGTAGCATTTATCAATGTTAAAACGTGTACTAGGCACGTGTCGCCAGTAATAAGAAGATATCACGAATTAAAATTAAAATTAGTGCAGCTGTCGCACAGGTGAGAGTGGCTCATCAGGGAGGCAGGAATTACCCATATTAATGTTAGTGAACTAGTAATAAGTAAAAATAGAAAGACCAAATGAAGGAAGGAGATGTGAATGAGCAACATATGTTGATATATGTCAACCTGATGTAGTTTAGCATTTGCAATCATTCATAATAAGACACTTGACGTAGTTATAGTTGGCAATCGTCTTAAATCAACTTGAAGCCACCCACCCAATTAATATTTGTCACGTCTTCGTTATATTTGTGTAGTTACATTTAGACTTTAATTAGATGTGTATGTCTTGGGTAACCGTTATAATGTAAGGACAATTTGTTACAAAGCATTGATATTAAATTCAGTTCTCAATAGATGTTCTCAACAAATATATATATATATATATATATATATATATATATATATATATATATATATATATATATATACAATTGGAAAAAAAAATCTTACATTTGCCGACGCGTTTCGTCTTCCGACGTTTTCAAGGCAAAAATGAAATCGAAATGTTTTTGTTGTTATAGTTACATTAAAATTCAAAATTAAAAAGATAGACGCTTGTGTCTAAACCTTTTTTCTGGTTAATGTAAATTACCTTTACAGTAAGGGATTATTATTATTTATTTATTTTTTAATTTTTTTTTTCCATGTCGACAATATAGTTAAATTCCCAGATGAATTCTGTGGACAAGTCAGAGTGGTATCAAATGACAATTGGAAAAAAATCTTACATTTTGCCGACGCAAAAAAAAGATTCGATTTCATTTTTGCCTTGAAAAAGTCGGAAGACGAAACGCGTCTGGGAATTTAACTGTATATATATATATATATATATATATATATATATATATATATATATATATATATATATATATATATTCAGGGGCGAAGGGTCTATATATGTAGGATATGCACTTGCATGCCTTACGTTTTTTGAGGGTAAATAATTTTGTCTGATATAAAATAAATTATTGATAATTTTCACTATACTTTTTGTACTTGTATGTTTTTATTTACCATTTCTTCACTCCATTTAGAGAGTGTAAGTAGAGAAAACGCTTGTTGTTTAGCGAGAAAAGATGCAAATAAAAGCAATGAATTTACTAGAGATTTTAGTAGGGAGAATGGCAGACAGAACATAATAGT